ACAATGACGACTTAGAATTAAAAGCTGTGAAATAAAACAATTAGTTGGTATGGTTGTTTGAAATGATAATATAATATGGTTTATTACATTATTAACCTATATAAGCGGAAAAAGAGCTTATGCTATAAATAATAATACAATATATAGTTCTTTGGATGGTAACAATATATTTGTATGAGTTTGTATTGTATACATGTTTTGGCATTTTTCTCGACATCCAAAACATTGCCGAAATGAGGTCACAATTGTAATGCTATTTTTAACATAATAAAAACATTTTTCTAAAATCTGTACATTATATGATATCCATGTAACAACATGCTTATATACCGCATAGCAACCTGAATAAGTGTTCCAAACATGTTTCCCAAATTTTTTTATTTTTTTTATTGGAAAATAAAAAAGGTAAGCTACAGACTTTTAAGAAAATTGAATATGTTACAGCATTTTTTAGAAATACCTCCATTCTGATTTCTATACCTTAAGTCTCAAAAGTACGATCAAATGAAGAAAAAGTTTCTAACCCTTACAGATGGGAGAGGTTTTATGATGTTTTTTAAATCAAGTTATGTACACCTATATCGAATTTTTATCCTTATAATAACCAGTTCGAAATGATAACGACATTTTTCAAAAAGATTTAGCACACTTTAATAATTATAAATTGGGTACATAAGAACGTTGAATTGATATTTTAGATAATACTTAGGGACACATTTTTTTTACAACGATACGATTGGTTGACCCAAATCGGAGATAAAAACAATATTTATATATAAAAAAAATATACATTTTGTAACGATGATAAAAACATCTTTAACACGCTTATATTAGCTTCACTTGTATGTATGTTTGTATGTTTGTATGTAACTAAAAGAGATAGGCAACCGAACGTACATGCGTGTATTCATTGTTGTTTACCTGAAGTTTTCAAGTAATAGAGACACGTATGTACTAGAATTAAAAAAACACGATTCTAAAGCACATCGAACTAAAAAGTGAAAAATTAATATAGTTTTGTAACGTGTCTGCTTGGCTAGTTGGCTAGGCTAGGCTGAAACGACAGTCGATAGGGTTAAATTAGTGGACCCGAAGACGGGACGGATGGCTAGGCCGTATCTACACTTAAATATCCCTAAAGTCTCCTTTGTATATTTGCTATATCGCCTGAGGAGCTTAACAGGCGATCGTACCTCTAAATAACTTAACTCTCAAGTGTGCAACGAAACGAAAACAGGTTTATTAAATAAGTAAAGCTATGTACATATATATTACACCTCTACCTGGATCCTAAAGCGTTCTCTGTAGTTAGTCCAGGTAATGGCGGAGTTGAACGGACACACGAGTACGGGTAAAGTTAAAAGAAATATAAAATAGTAATGTAACGTGAAATATAATAGACAATTATAATATAACAGACAATTTTGATCTGATATAGCAGTACATAAAAAAAAGAAATGTAGATAATTCATTTTACAATTTGCACTAAAAAAACTTTTTAGACCCTTAGGAAAAGTTTTATGCCTTCCCGGTCGTTATTTTGCTAAATTCGTTTCTTATGACTACATTTTGCACAAGAAAACAAAATGATAAACCGTTGTAAAGCAAACACCCAATATTAATACGCGTGTACCTTCGAGTATATTACAGAAACATGTTATTCTACTATTTTCGATAAATCGGTATACAATAGAAAATTGACTGATTCATTAAGGACAGGACACTAGTTTTCTCTTAAAATAATAGCATTTTTGTAGCTTTTATAATAATTGGAGACACTTAAGTTGGTGTTATTTTACAATATTATAAAACTATTACTAAACATTTAAATTTTCTATTTGTACATAAGCGTAGTGCCTGCAGAAAAAATAATATTTCACTCCACCCTTCATCCCGTCCTAAATTTTAATGTTTAATAACTCCCAAAGTAATTGGCCAAAACTGGTTATCGACCGGTATACTATTCAGAAAATAATTCTCAGTTTAAATAGTAAATTAAATATGTACACAAGATACTACTTAAGTTTTTAAAAGTTGATAGGCTTATGGAAAATAATAAGAAAAAGGTTAATGTTTAGTATTTTAATAATATTGTAAAATATGATAACCAAAAATGTATTCAAAAATGAAATACTACAAAATTGCAATTAATCTAAACCGTACTCATTCCATCTTCAAACCATGACGAAAACATTCGGTTTGAGTTCAATAAATTTTTTTTAACAATTTTAAAAATACCCATTTTTATGGCAGAGACCATAAAAGATGGTGGACAAATTTCAACAAATTAGGGGTTCCGTTTTAGGCCAATACGAACCAATATGTCATTAATGATAAGACCATTGCATAGGTGTATAAATTATTTTAAAATTGTTAGAGAGTGAGGATTTTGTATAATTTCGCACATTGGCGCATGTGTTTCAAAGTTACACCTAGTTCAAAAGTAAATAAAGATTTATATGTACGATTTTCTATGGAAGTATTATTTATCGAATTTTCGCCTAAGCATTAACTCGAAAACACAATTTTTTTTACTATAGAAAAACACTTGGGTTGTTCGATGTGAGTTCCCATTTCCACTGTTTACATAAATTGAAATATACGAATCGACAAATTTAAAGTCTTAAGAAATTCATGGCCAACCCGACTTATTGACGATTTTCTAGAATAATAAAAAAAAACAATTTACGTGTATTTTTTTGGGGTTTTTTTTTGTAATGCAATGTTATTTCAAGGTCATTGTAATTTTTCCCCCTTCGGTAAGATGATTTTAGAGAGGGGTGATTTTGCAATATCTTATAGCAACTTGTATGAATAATAAATTTAGACATTTATGTTAATCTATTTTTTGTTTTTTAGTAAAATAGAATTTGATTGGACTTACCTTGAGGGTCCTAACCTAACCTAACACGGGTCGATGTTACCAACCGTGAACCGACAATCATTAGCGTCTGTTCATTTCTCACATCTGGAACACCATGTTTGTAATTGGTCCAGTGTTAAAAAAGTTACAGTGTAAATAGATAAAAAAAAGCCCACATCAGAGTAAAACCAATGCCTTCGCCGCTTTGCATCGAAGCTAAAATTTATTTGGATTTTGGTGAGGCGAATGTTGTTCATTTTCTGGTTTATTTTTGTATCTTATACGCATAGAACATTTAACCCGTCGTAGGTATCGTTATGATGTGCAACATGATTGGTATCGTGTTAAAATAATGGTAACACAATTGTTTTTATGTTCTTGTGATCTGTCTAGTTAATGAACTTACAGTAGTGCAATTGAGGTAAAAAAGTTTATCTAGTTGTATCCGATAAATGTTATATTATGCCTAATGACCTAAATTTCGACATCTGGGACAAATCATTTTATGAAAATATTCATTTAAACCCTTTTGAAAACAATAAATGTTTTTATTATTGTTATTACTTTTCCAAAAAAATAAACACAGCTTATTAATAACAAGTGTTATTCATTGAAATATGAAGAAAACATATTATTTTGATGTGATGTTTTGTATGCTTGTTCAAACAGTTACCTGATAGTCATACACCATTTGCACTAAATAAGAAATTTTTTTCCAAAGTGTGCAGAACTCTTCAACCAGAGGCCCAAATTTAGGTTTTCAATTGAAGTATTGGGCGTAAAAACACAAACATATATCATTGTTTTGGGCGTTTTATTTTTCTCGGTTTCGTATCGTCGCAACATGCTCTTAAAGCTATCAACATCAAATTTGTTTTTCATTCCAATTCCTGTACTCGACTTTTTTTTTAAATTCAAGAAAGTAATATTGTACTAAAATAAATTTTGAGTATAAATAATACGGCGTTTTGCATAGGCAATTCTGTTACGATCGTGTATTCGGTTATTTTTCTAAAATACATTATTATTTTGTTTTTAATAATTATAACTACTGGATGCCAATTTTATCGACGACTCAATATTACTTATGTTAATAAATCGATAAATCCTCAATCTTTAATTTTAGTCATGAGGTCACCTATCATACGCTGTAACTTACCCGATTACTAGATCACCATTGTCATTATATTGTACTTAGAACACTAACGATGTGACGTGCTCTGCTTAGAGAAAAGTAATAAACAGAGGCGTATACGGGGAGGGGGATATAGTGATCACCCCTACCCTGGATGGTTTACTTGTGTGTGATAGTGATCAATAATTTATACGTTTATGTGACACTGACGTCTTTTACAATTATTTTTTTAATATTATTCGCTCCCCCCCCCCTAAGGGGTGAAGTAAATACGTCCTTAGTGGTATACTATTAAAAATTTAGTTGTTGTCTTTTTATGTTTAGGACGTTCATTACAATATAAGGTACACTCACCATATAAAACTCCATACTCGTGTGTTATGATTGATATCTTTAGAACATAAAAACTCAAAAACATCCTAATACATAAAGTAAACAATTAGGTTTATCAGCCCTATAATAGTTACTTTTTCATTTTAATAGTTTGTTGTTATTTTATTGATTACAACCAAACCAACATAAAAGACAACTCGTATGTACAGTAAACGCTCAGATTGGTTAAGTTAGGATGACACAGGAGACCATCTAGACCAGTCGTTCACCATAGTTAACGGTGAATTCACACTTGTATAAATATAAACTTAAAAATGTAATAGGCAACCAATGTTTATTTAGGTCAAAAACTATAATTTTAAACTAAGACAATTTTTGTATTAAATGTTATTATTTTTGTTTTACAAGCAATAAATGTATTTTTTTCAAATCAAAATTAGTTTAAAGATAATATTTAAAGAAAAACACAACATAAATTCATAAATTAACAACAATTCAAAATATATAGTTTATTCCTGAAGTAAATATTACAAATTCAATTATAATTATATATTTACCATACATTTTTTTTATGTAGTCTTATCACATCGGATACGAACATGTGGGCCAAGCATTTTATTAATTGTTCAACAATTTTCGGTTTGCCATTAAAAACCTTATTTATTATACTTGTAACGTGTATTTTTTCGTTTCCGATGGATACAGCTCTTATTGCGTTGAATATTAAGGCATATCCTTGGTCCACTTTTCCTATAATTATAAACTGTCTTGCATCTAAACCAGCATCAAGAGATTGACTGCCTAACGCATACATTTTTTCTTCTGTAAACAAATAACATTTTGAAATATATATATATATATATCTTTATGTATGAGTTTCTTCTGCTCGTGTGTAAGTATGCAGACTCCTACTAAACGGTTAGACAGATATTTATGAAATTTTGTGTGCGCGATTAAGTTGCTTCGAGAAAGGTTTAGATTCACGATTTGATCCGAAAGAACATGTTTTCAATTTTTAATTAATTTAAATGATTAATTATGATTATCAATAGCATCAATAGTTATCAATACATCCCTATGGGTTTTCATACCACAGGGATACAGTGATCCGATCAGCTGATTGTGTGTCTATTCTAATACACGGACGAAGCCGGGTCGGGACATTTTGTACTTATATATATTTGTTTATATATATGTATGAAATATATAATACTAAAAAAAATATAAATAACCGGTGAAATAAAATTTTAAGCGCTTGGAACAAGGTTTCATTTAAGATTTCAGGGTATCGTTTTTTTTTGTGAGATGCAATAAACATACATAAATTAAATACCCCATTAAAAAAAATGCGCAGTTTTAATTCATTTTACTATGTTCTGGTTAATAGTTTTATAAAACATGAACAAGTCAGAATAAATTCCCGTTTTACTTTAATCGACAAAGATTATGATAACAATGTTTTCAGCTGATTAGACAGGTCTATCTTATGAAAATATCAGTCATATTACAAACATTTACATTTTACATGTTACGTGTCTTATAAATTATTATAGCTAACTGAAATCGATAAAATCACTCTCCAAAACATAATTGATGCATTTGCGTAAAATATTCAAAATCACAATGTAAGATTAACTGGGTTTTTAACTGAAAGTTCGACTAAAATTTTTTATTGAATAGATTATCATAAATTTAAACGTCTTGGTTTAACACATTATCAGTCTCAATCAACTATCTGTTTTAGACTTTTTTAAAGTCCAGAAGATTTGTTGATCTCGAAAAATACCTTTAAGAATATTCTCTCGCTCAGGTTTTACTAAGTTCAACTGAAAATTGGAGAAATATAGGTGTCATAAATGCCACAATAAAAAATCAATCATCTTTATAAAATAACGATCGGATCTTTTTTCTTCTTGCTTAATGGACAAAAATAAACCAAATTATTGTTTTGTAATACTCACCGTCGTTGCGTATCTCTTCCGGAAGAAAACTTTCAAATGAAAACGCATGTAAGCGCATGCGAAGATTCCTTACAGATGTAGGCTCACGAGGGTTAACATCAGAAGGTTCACCATCAGTGCAGGAAATCTAAAAGACACATACAATAGTAGTACTATATTATAATATAAAATTAGTATGATAAAAGACCTTGTTGGCTGTCGTCAAACAGCATTGTATTCAAGTATAGCAGTAGTTTGTCTTCAATAAAGACATGTCAAAATAAATATTTTATGAACTCACGGAGGCTCTGCGAATTAGATATAGTCCAATACTCGAGAGACCAAAATAGTTTGTATAATATCAATATGTTATCACGATTGTCAAAATGTTCAGCAAAATATTCTTAATTTTAAAAGTTGTGATAATATGTATTAAAACTAACAACTGTGGAAGCATGTAAATAATTATTTGAATATATTTACGGGAGTATTCACTAATATTTTATCACATTAATTATGTAAAACAGTTATGTTTTTAAATTAAATTTGTATTATGGATGTTTCTATTGCAAAAAAAAAAATGAGTGCAAATAGTTTTTTTTACACTTCAACAATATTAAAAAATAATACATGTTTTATATTACATTAAGGGTAAGATACTTATTAATATAATTATCGAGATTATTAAAAATATAAAATATATTATAATACCTATTTATATAAATCACAACCATAAATGTTTTGCTGGTAGGATCAAGTTCAGATTTTATGATGAAATAGTTTAAATTTTGTTCAAAATCTATATTTACTTACTTGTACATTAAGACTGCACAAAAACATTGCAAATAACACAAGACTCGTGTTTGATTTCATCGTAAATACCTAAAACAATAAAAACTGCGCAATAATTATAGTTTTAACAGAGATATTAGTGTGTAATACTAAATTGACAGTATTCATTATTTCTCCTTCATTTATCAACTGCAAATGAATTAATCCCTTCGTTCAAATATTTTTAATTTAATAATTCGATTATTTTTTTTTAAATGGTTTTTTATGGTTTGGTCAAAATTGTCGGTAAATTACTTTTTATTTAAAACTTCAATTTAATGTGTACAATACTATCAAAACTTAATAGCACTCTTAAAAATAACAAAAAGTAAAAATTGATAACTTAAGCAAGATAAAAAATTGTAAACTTTTTTTTTAAAAAACCTAAACAAAACAAAACATTGTCTTACGAAGAATAAGTTTAAATGTTACTTACTTATTTGGCGTGTAATAAATCTAACATATAGAAACTCCAAAAAAAGAACACTAATACAGTCTGTGCACAGTTTGCCTTTTTATAGCGAAATTTAGGACTCTTCACAGTCGCATTTTTTTAAATTGCGCCTAAAACTCTTTTTCGTGATTTTAGTGTGTTTACATAATATAAATATATGATATTTGGTGCTTTTTTCGCTGGTGGGCGCCTACGTTGTTGTTTTTTTTTTATTCGAATATGATAGTTTAACCCGAAAAAACAACTCTTGAATATACCAATTGAATAGACATACGAAGAGAATGAAGTGTGCCTGTTTTGTGAATATTCTAAGGTTAAAAGAAATAGTTGAAAATTTTCTCAAAAAAACATATTATTTGTGCAAAATCGTATTATATTTTTCTTACAATTTCTGCCTTGCCCACAAAACAAACATTATATTTTACTATACATATCCCTTATACGAATGATTACAGACAACGGCAATAATAAGAACAAGTTTTTGCAATAATTAGTTGATTATTAGTTTGCAATAATGAATTTAACTCACTTCCTGATACGGTAGAAGGCTGAAATTTAACCCAGACACTCATTTTGGATAACAATACAATATCCTGGAATTATATTGGAGGACGGGGAATGGGAATTATTTTGCTCAGTCCTGACAAACTAAATCTCGGGCAACGAGGGTCCCGAACAACTTGTAAATAAATAAAAATAAAACTTTTTTAAAAACATGCTTTTCTAAAAAGTAGTATAAAAGTGAACTAAAAAGTAAAATATAATTTTATTACAGGAACAATTTACCAATCAATTGTAACAAATTTTATTTAAAATGTCGATTACTTTGAAAACAACCGCATATTAACTACAATTTTAAATGATGTTAATCATCTTTAATTTTTGACTAAAAAGAAAAGCGTGAACCCTATTCAACAAAGTTCCTTCATGAATTTATCAGATAATGTTTTATATTTTAAGTTTTTTTGTAATTTAAATTTGGTTTAATATTATTGTGTGACACATACATTTCATAACACTTAACTCAATGAATTTGGACATTGTTGAATAGGGCCCACGCTTTTCTTTTTAGTCAAAAATTAAAGACGTTTAACATTATTAAAAATTGTAGTTAATATGAGGTTGTTTTCAAAGTAATTGACATTTTAAATAAAATGTGCTACTATTGATTGGTAAATTGTTCTTGTAGTAAAATTATGTTTAGCTTCGGTGTGGAGCTGAGAAGGTATTGTTTTTACAATGATGTGTTTTTATTTTTTATGTGTGTGTCCGGACCTACGATATCTCGTAAGCCGCTGAACCGATTTCTTCGTGTAGCAACTGAAGGGCTACACAGGGGAAAAAGCATCAATGTCAATTTTTTTTGAAAATGAGATGTTAGTGCCATCTTTTAGCTTGTTCTCAAAGGAATCGAACTACGAATCGGTTTTGCATAGAAAGACCATTGGCTGCCCAAAAATAAAGGGAGAAGAAAACGTCTCATCAAGGTCCACGCGATGGCAACTGTGATGGGAAATACTAATCAGGGTCAATGACCTATCAGAGATTTTATTTTATTTTTCACTTTTTGTAAAATTAAAATGTTTTTTTTTTCTTTCACTCAAATATATGTAGTTTACCGACAACATATGTTTTTCTCTCGCTCAAACCCTTGCTGCAATGTCATTTTGTAAGTTGTTAAACTTTAAAAACGGAATTACCAACAATTTAATAAAACTGACATTGATGTTTTTCCCCGCAGCCCTTCAACTTTATAGATCAGAAATCGTTCCTGAAAGGTATCTAAATAGGCCAAAAATTGAAAAAAGTCACCCTTTCCCCATCAAAATTGAGAAAAACCCCCAAAAAATGTATACATTTTTCTACTTAAAAATACGATGCTCTATAACTTTTTTAAAAATAGTCGAAAAAGTTCCAAATTTATATGAATTATTCTTCAAACATAGTACTATCGATAACATTAACTAACTAAACAAATATCATAAACCCTTTCCCCTAGAAGGAATATCATTTTTTTCTTTATTTCACTTTTTCAAGCAAAGTTTTAGAGATTTAGATCTGAAAATTAGACCAAAGGTAGATCTAAAATGGAACTATAACAAATTTACACTGTAGCCGTAGTGAGTTTCTAGTTTGCTATGTGTGAGTGAATCAACAGGTAATGAAAATATTTTAATTATATTGTTAATTACGATATATGGGTAACTATGAGAGTTCATTTTTATAGACAGACGATCAACCCTTATCGTATCCTCCCTACACAAGACTAAATATTAAATTTTAAGTACATTATTGCTGATCCCGCGATATCTTCTAAACCGCTATAACTGTGGACTTATTAGCCTAAAAAGAATCCCCTGGATAGTATGTTCAAACCAGTTATAGCGGTTTAGAAGATATCGTGGGATCAGCAATAATGTACTTAAAATTTATATATATATATATATATATATATATATATATATATATATATATATATAAATATACAGGGTGAGGCATTAATAATAAGACCTTGAATGCATGTACAAATTATTTTAAATGTTAGAAAGTGAAGTTTTTGTATAATTTCGTACATCGGCACACGCACGTGTTTCATTTTGAAACAACATATTTTTGTGACCCTGAGTCCAAAAGTAAACAAAAATTTAAAAATATGATTTTTACTAAAGTATTGTTTATCGAATTCTTGCCGAGGTATTATAACTCGAAAACACAATTTTTTTACTTTAGAAAAACACTTGTGGATTTTATGTACGTTTCGATTTCAACTTTTTATATAAATGAAATATATACTGTAATAGTTTTTCTGCAATTTTTCTACACGTTCAAAATATTGTAAACATTATTTAGAAACTCATATTAAAAGACCTATGTGAATCATTTTTGGTTTTTATCGTACAATGTCATTTCAAGGTCATTGTAATTTTTCCCCCTTCGGTCAGAGGATTTAGGGAGAGTTGATTTGGAAATCTCTCGTATAGCACCCAATAATTAAGATAACAATAATAAATAAATAATAAAGTAATAATTAAGATTCACATGTTAAGCTACTTTTTTTAAGTAAAATATAATGTCATTGAACGTTTTAGATTTCAACATCAATCAGAAGAGCTGTAACCTTTTCGAATTTCTATTAAAAAAAAATGCGATTTCTATAACAATTGTAATGCATTTTAACGACTATTTTCAATTATTTAAATAGATAAATTGGGTTATTACCTACTGTTATTTTTTTTAATATAAATAATCATGTTTGATAATTAACCGGTTTGGGTTAAGCGTTTAAAATTAAAATTTTAATTTTGTGAATATAATTTTATTGGAACCTATATATAGGTAGTAAATAAATAAAATAAAAGGGATAAATTCTATTATTTTAAATACAAATTAAGTACGTAAAAAACTGAAAAATACAACCAAGTGGTTGCCAGTTATTGTGATTATTTTCGATATTTAATATTTTTTTCGTGTTTACAAATCATACCATAAACAATACAATTTAAAAAGGAATGACTTAAATTTAAATTTGTAAAAGACTTTCGTAATACATAGACAATATACATTTTACATACATATAGTCTGTAGCTAATAGTATAGGCATATACGAGTTCTGAACGGAATTCATACCGAAGTGTCGAACAAATGATTTATATAAAAATTGAATATCGCTTACTGTCCAGTATATATTGTATGCACCCTTAAACTAAACATTTAGTTTTAAAAGGATTTTCGCGTTTACAATGATTTGTATAGATATTTAACGTGTTTACCATCTACAGATCCGCCTCGAAGCGCTTTTTTGAAAGTATTTCATAATACTCAACTCAATGAATTTGGTCTTTGTTGAATAGGGCCCACGCTTTTCGTGGGCCCTATTCATGCCATCATGTGCCAACATACCTAACCTACCCTAACCTAACCTGCCATCATGTGCCAACATACGAGGAATTCTCGCCCGCTGACACCGATGTCAAGTGATCCTGACGATTTGAATTATTTGTCGCCGGATCATTTTCTGATTGGCCAGCCGTTGCTAGGGATACCATACCCAGAAGCTCCAGAAGTGCCTCGAAACCAACTACAACGACGGAAATGGCTTCGTGGTTGTCATCAGTCGTTCTGGAAGCAATGGTCAGCTGACTATCTTAAGACGCTCCAAATCAGAAACAAATGGACCAGAGACCATCCTAGCCTCAAAATAGGGGATACGGTCATTATTAAACAAGAAAACGTAAGCTCACTACTTTGGAAGATGGGTAAGGTTGTGGACCGTTTTTTAAGATGGTGGTACTACCGTACGATTAACACCCTATCCTTTTTAACTAAACGTCCCTGCCTATAACAGTTAAATCTTCAAGTAAAGGGATGTGAGGCTGGACTCGTCCTGCCTCTCATTGGGGAGAATGTATGACACATACATTTCATAAAACTTAACTCAATAAATTTGGTCTTAGTTGAATAGGGTCTACACTTTTTCTTTTTAGTCGAAAACCAAAGATGTTTCAGCTGAACTTTTCTTTATTTTTTGTTTTTTTAATGTCTTATAAAAATCAGAATGTAAAAGTACTGTACTTTTACATGCCAAGGTGAGCTTAATCAATTTTTATCTCCC